TTAACTAGCAAGCATCTCCATCTGCCTTTCAAAAGCCCAAATGCTTGTTCAGTTACAACCCTTGCGGCACTTAAGGATTTGTTGAAAGCGGCTTGACGTGCAGTGATTCCTCTCGCCTGTGGATATGGCTTCATACACCATGTACAAAGCCTATACGCCGGGTCAGCAACTAGTAAGGGTTTTACATTTCTACCCCCAATCTGACGGACAGGAGAGGTCAGGATTTGATCATTTTGTACTGCGTTTAGAAGGGAACTTATTCGTARAACTCTTGCAYCGTGGATGCTTCCTGCATATCCTGTACTGACGTGTATGAATTTCATGTTRGCATCCGCAACTCCCTGTAAAATTATGCTGTGAAAATTTTTCCTRTTTACGTATGCATTTGGATTATCCTTCGGAGCTTTTATAGGAATGTGCGAGCCGTCTAACGCACCAACAACTTGAGGAAAAGTACTTATATTTTGAAATTCTTGTATACATCTTCTTGTTTCCACCTCTGTCTTTGGGAATTTAATAAATTGGTTTGCATGCCCCACGAGAGCCGAACAAAAATCATCTTTAATGTTCATTGCTGTACATCGTCCTGTTCCAAAATTMAGCGCAACAGTCCTGTAAGAGTTCCCTGTGGCTAAACGCCATAAAGCWATAGCTACTCGTTTCTCTACAGGGATTGCTTGACGTAAAATAGTATCCTGTCTTCTCATATAAGGACCAACAATTCTACAAATGAAATCAAATGTGTTTCTGCTCACTCTAAAATGTTCTCGCCACAAATGATCCAAATGTCTGTTGTTCAAAATCTCCTCAAACCAGAACTGAKGTCTAGGATAAACCCATGCTAATTTCCTTCTTCTTGGACGATGTCGTCGTTGTGTGGACAAAATCAGTGCTAGACTTGTTCTCTGTCTCCTTCTTAAGGATAGAGACCGAAGATTGCGAAGAAAACGTCACGTCTTCTCGAGAATTCACCAAACAAACGCCGAGGTTTTCATAGCGCTATGAAGGCACGGAAAACATGTTTTATTTCTTAATTATAAAATGAAACCCTGCAGGCAGGGTGAAACGTCCCAGGCAGTGATCTGTGTGTTTCAATATATGCATAGAGTAGGGGCATAATACCAGACCGACTCCAGTAAGGGCCAATTTTCCCTTGACCCTCCTGTAAATTRACTCTTCTGTGGTAGACTGTAGTTTATTTAACTCAACATGTACACATGATGTAGGTTAGCGAGCGAACTAACGAACTAATTTACATATGACAAATATTRCACCTCCCAATCTACAAAGTTAGGTGTGGCCATAAATGTAAAGTCTTGAATACTGTGGCATAACAGTAGTTTTATTTATATGAAGAGGAATAGCTTATTTAAAGCAGAWGTGCACCCTTAAGTTCGTTAACTTCATGGTAGCGTTTGGTAGTCCTGGGGGTGCTTAACCAGTATCCGAGCTAGWGAATTTRAGCTTAAGACTTTTGAAATRTGCAAGYAATGTTTATCGGTTTCCTCCGTTTTCCAYCTAATGTGGGACATGATATCTTTGAGCTCACATCTGGTTAGGKYAAGGGTGATCGCACACCCAGAACGAAAACCATGCACTGCCAGGTGTTTTGGAGGGCTGAGCTACCAATTCCTCCCCACCGTCCAGTGRCCAGCAATTCCCTGAATTCACACATTTGACTTTTCTTTGAGAGTAAGCTGAAGGGTCAAAAACTGTTCGATATTTCTACTATTCTATTATCAATAAATCCCAAAGACTTCGCAAAAAAGCTTCAATTTTAATTGTTCACGCTCAATTTTTACACAATTTT